AGTTAAGGTTCAACACTTATATGTTTGATAAGGTATCCTTCAGTGAAGGCCCAATGTTTATATGTCTAATGATAGAGAAAGGATCCTTCACTGAAGGTCAAAACTTTATATGCCCGATAAGACAACAAAGATCCTCTAGTGAAGGTCTTACATTTATATGTATGATAAGGCGACATGGATTCTTCAGCGAAGGTTCAATGTTTATATGTCTGATAAGGCGAAAAAGATCCTTCATTGAAGTTTCAACATTTATATGCCCGATAAAGTGGAAATTATCCTTCAGTGAATATGCATTATTCATATTCCTTATAAGGCGATTAAGATCCTTCATCAAGATTCAAAATTTGTAGATCTAATAAGGCGACAATGATCCTTCAATAAAGGTCTAACATTTATATGTCTGATAAGGTGACAAAGATCCTTCAGTGAAAGTCCAACACTTATAAGCTTGATAAAGCAACACAAATTCTTTAATGAAGGTCCAAATTTTATATTCTTAATATGTGTTACTTGAAAATGTGAGATGTCAAATGCAAGTATACATGTATGTTTTAAGTAGCAAGTGATAAAGTATTAGGGATGTCAAACACACAAGGAGTGGAAGGTGTAACACCATTCTAAACCCCACCGAATAATACGTCATAAATTAGAGTAAGATAACATGCATCTCAAATAAGGGTGTCACATATAATTCAAACATCACACATACACCTGTCATGCTCGATTACACTTAAATTAAATTCATGTTTTTCATACTCTTTCCCATAGCATGTAGCAGTGGAATCACTTTCATTCATAATGAACACAATAAATAGTCTCATAAATAACTCATTCATATCACCACTTAGGCATGAAAGCCAAAACTCCACATGATTCAAATAATGATAGCAAAATACTATAGAGTACATAAAATATCTCTCAAAACATGAATTAAAACGTTTCCAGTATTACATGACAAGAGCATGACTCGACCCAAAATAAATAAGGAAAATAAAGTAAATAACTCCAACAGCTACCCTTGAGTGAGAAGCAACTCTACTCTTCAGTACCTGAGCAATGTCGCATAAAACATCATTCCAACAGAAGGGTGAGAATTCACATAATTAATGAAATCATATAATAATGTATAATACATAGCATACATGCATAACATAATTATTCTCACACTTCAAATGCTTTATAAACATAGCATCACTCAAGAAACCATATTATTCATAAGTACATACTCACAAATCCATAATTTCACCAATTCATCAAATTCACATAATGCACATAATCTCATATTGCAATTATAGACACCATATGACTCAATAAAAGACTCAAATGCAATACTCATGCATGTGGTACCAACCACTGTTATTATTTTTCGGTTTTTACATTAAACCGGGTCCGTCCTCTAGACCAATAACACACAAAATCTCATCCTTAAAGCTTCAAACCACTCTCTAGGTTTGAGACAAGTCACTAGTTCCCACGAAACTAACAATTATTGCCTCTTGACTATAATGATGCATGTGCAAGTTCAACAAACATATGAAATTAAGATCATCCCTCAATATTAACATCCATGCATATATTCAATAATTCATCGTAATTGAATTACCAAACAATTACACATACTTGCACATATTTATGAATCATCCACACACAATTCACTTTCAAACGGTATACAACACATTTTACAATAAAATCACAATTGTATTATCATTACAACAAAAAATAACTATCATGCATTTCATATTTTCACATACCAAAATATAATTATACAAGCACACACACAAGTAATCGATAAATTATCCACAAATAATTTCACAATCGACGGCAAACAGTGCAACAATTCATTAATAGAACATATACACAATTGACTTCCTAAAAATATTAGATATTAAAATATTGGACAACCAATCATCTTATCTATACTATGTTATAGCTCTATTCATTAGCTTTCCGACGCTTCGAACGGGGACTAAAACAGACTTACGGATCAAAAGTTATGATCGAGACAATTTCGGGTATGAAATCTAGCGAGCTGACACAGTTTCCCGTGTTATGGGACACGGCCTGTGGTACTCCAAAGTCAGAAAATCATGTGTTTACACTCCAAAACAGGGGACTGACACGACCACCTGTGTTAGAGACCAGAAAAATCCATTTTCACAGTCGGAGGCCTTCTAGACCTCCGATTTCGATTCCGTAAAAAATTTCAGTTTCAGAATTCAAAATACTACAATTATATGAAAATTATAACAACCCACAACATATATTTAAGGATCCTACCATCATACATCATGTAATCATCAATTTCAAAACCATGGAAATTAGGAATTTTTATCCTAAATATGATATTACCCGTCATACACTATCATACAATCCCATAACCATGTAAAGACCCACCCTTACCTTGATTTTTTGATGAACTCTTGAGTTTCCAACTTAGATTTTCTTCTCCTCTTTTCCCCTTTTCTTTTCTCTATGTTAGCTTTTTTTCTTCTTATTAACTCTATTTTTCTCTTTATATATAAAACCCTTATAACAACTAATTCTAGTAACTTATGGCCTTACTAATCATACCCCCACCTTTACTCTTCACATTTTCATCCAATAGGTCCAATTATCTTATTTCTATATCATTTCCACCAAATAAAATAATCCAAATAAATCAATTACTCACAAAATTACACAATTATTTATATATATATATATATATATATATATATATATATATATATATATATATATATATATATATATATATATATATATATATATATATATATATATATATATATATATATATATATATATATATATATATATATATATATATATATATATATATATATATATATATATATATATATATATATATATATATATATATATATATATAATTACTAAAAATTAGGGTGTTACAAAAGGCAACTTAGAATGATTTTGTAAAAAACTATCTTTTGTAAATAAGCATGTGCAAAATTAAAACAATTTATGATTGTCACATGTTTAATATAGTAGCAAACAAAAGTGAAACAATGTTGATACAATAAGTGAGTTCAATAATAGAGAGCATGTTGAGCAATAATCCAATAATATAACCTTGTTACTTATGTGTGCATGATGTGTTGTGTCGTGTGAAGAAAGGTCACAAATTGATTTAATGGTGTATCTCTACATCATCAAAAACGTATACTTTAGGACAAAGGAAAAAATATCTAAGCCTTAATTGTAATCCTAAAGCATGACTATGACTAGTTTTATTATGAAAGTCCTTTATGGTTGTAGTCACTTATCTCTAAGAAGTTACTCTAGTGAATATATTTATCCTATTATTTTCAACCACTTTCATCATGAAATCCACTTGCTGTTGAATCTTTCACAACAACAAGCTTGTATATTTTTTCAAATTGATCATTCAAAGAAGCAGATCTATAATAAGCTAGCACATGATAAAACAAAGTATTAACAAGACATTACTTAACATAAAAACTACATTATATTAACTTCTCATTGCTAAACATAAAAGGTTTAGCTCATAATGAGTTGAACACATACAATAATACTGGTTCTTAAACTAATCATTCTCAAACACATAGTAAAAAATAAATAACAACCTAAGAGCAGCGTCTTCATCTTCATGCAATGGTTAATCGTCAAGAGACAACTTTTGTCGCGCAATGTATCAGCAGTAGAGACTCAAGATGGTGAGAAGAAGAACCCTCATTTTTCCTCAACTCACTTTCTTTATTGGTTTCTTCTAAGTCTTTTTCTCTAACAAATGCTAAAATCCTTTTTTCCTTCTTCAACTCACTTTCTTTATTGGTTTCTTCTAAGTTTTTTTCTCTAACAAATGCTAAAATCCTTTTTTCCTTCTTCAAGAATTGTTTTTATAGTTGCTCCAGTTAGGATTTTGCAAAATGTCTATCATGGGCTTGAGAATAAATCAAATAAGGCACAAAAGAGAATTAGCAAAATCCCCTTTCATTTCTTCTTATTCGTACAACAAAGGAATTAGGTGCAGGTTGTAGTGGGAGACAAACTGTAGCATGGCAGTCTGCTAGCGCAGACGATCAGACTACAATGTCCTTTTTGCTGCATGTGTGCTTAGTAGTTGTACTATGTACTGAATTTTGTCTTCTAGCACCTTGTTCTTATCCTTTCAAATCAGCTCTCTTTTAAATGCAGTTTGTTGCCACACGTGCCCTAGGAATGCAATCGATGTTTCTTCTTTTCTCTCAGCTATTTCCAGCCTTCTACTTTTCTTGGGTACCGGTTTCTATCCCAGGTTGTCGTACCTAACCTCATAAGAATTAACCTTTCAAAAGCAACAAACACCTAAAAACTACCAAAGAGAGCACCTATTGCGCTCTTTACAAGTTATCCTAAATGCAACAAAATGCAATGAATTTAACTACTGAATGATAAAAACAAATAATAATATCTAAGTATTAGGACTTGTAATAACTCATAAGTTATGGGTTATTACACCTTCAAACTTAAATCATTACACGTCCTCATGCATCTATCTAGCTCATAACCCCTTCTTCTATGATAGATCCAAACACGTCGGAACTGATTATCATGTCATTCGTGAGAAGATTGAAATTGGTTTTATCAAACTTTTATCCATCAATACTCATACTCAAATTACAGATTTTTTTAACAAAACAGCTATATAAACCTACATCTGAGTCTCACATTTCCATGTCTACTAAATCTTCATAGTTCAACTTACTAGGGTGTCTCACACATAGGCACAATTACATAACTATCTTTTATTATTTTATTTTAGTTAGTTATGCTATTTATTTAACCTTAACCACCTTCTGTTAGGCTTAGCACTTATATCGAGCTAGTTGTTATTTTAGTTATGAAATATTGGTGTTACATACTAACAGACATACAAATCAAGATTCTATTAAATAAACAAGGAAAAAAATACAACTCTCAACATGATACCAAGATGACAATTTTACAAAAACCAAACATGGCATTAAGATAACACATCAAGCATTCTTATTTTTAACTTCTGAAGGAAATGACTTGAACCAAGGTATCCACACAGAAGTTGTCTTCTGGTAAAGCCTAAACGCCTCTGCTCTACTCTCTTGTTTCAACATTTTGTCCTCCACAAGCCTAGTAACATAAGCCAAACACAAGGTATTAACAAAAGCTCCAATAAAGGTCCATCCATGTCCTAGGCTCCAGGCAAACACAACCAGTCCCCACCACCATAGTGTCTCACCGAAGTAATTCGGATGCCGGCAGTAATACCATAAGCCATTTTCAAGTACAGGGACAACAGGCTTACCAAGCCCTTTTAGCTTGTTGTTTCTACTCATAAAGTCATGGAGCTCTGTATCAGAAAAGTACGCTATAACAACGCCGCTTAAACAAACAAGAACTGCCACCAAATCCAAGATACTCAAAGGCTTATTCACAAAGTGCACTATATATAAAGGAAGTGACAGTCCAATCAAAAACATCTGCAAAATATATAAACTTAATATCATTACAGTCCATTCGAATACCAACAAATGCACAAAATTGATTAACATTTTCCAATTTCAGCGATCATTTTTGAATATTATTAAAGCAAGAGATTAGGTTGATACAATTCTACAGTTTCAGGTTCAAATTGGTTATTTACTCCAAAAATTAAACCAAACAGGCAATTCACCAAACAGGTTGAAGGCATTTGATTAAACCGAAAAACAAACCTGCTGTGAGACATAAACAGCAAAGAATGAAATCCACCACCAATGTTTTCCATACTGTTGACTCATCTCAGTGAAACGCCAATCCTCTCTAGCACCCCATTGCCATTTTTCACGTCTGAAGTAATTATGAGTGAGCCTAATACTCCAAACCCATGTCAAAAAAATCACAACTTTTGACCTCCACCCATCGTATTGAGCCAAAGGGTGAGTTGCATAGTAATGAACAAGCATTACAGGAATCACAGTCCAATATGGATCAATCATCTGCATCATCACTAACAATAAAAATGTCAACTTTATACATACCCATAAACCAAAATTTGAAAATTGAATCATTAAATCAACTTGGTATCTTAAATTAGCGAAATTTTGAATGATGAATTGGATTTATGTGTACCCAGTGACTAGATTGGATTTGACCAATGAGCCAGAAGAGGAGATTGACGTTGAAGAAGAAGAGAGCGTTGGCGAAGAGGAGAGGGTGGTGATAGCACCATGTCCATAGAGATGAGGAAAAAGAAGGGCTATTTGGATTGGTGATTGCTGAGTGGTAGTTGTTGAGGAAGGTGAGATAGAAAATGATGGAAGGAAGAGGAACCAAGAATGCTATGGTAGCATTCTTGAAATTTTGATTACTAGCCATTGTGTTGATTCAGTGTTTGTGTTGTGTGTGAGTGTTTGTGATTTGTTGAGTTCTGGTTTTATAGGTGAAAATGAATTGAAGTATGTTTATATGAATATTCTTTTAAAATATTTACTTATGATTCATATTAGTTTTGAAAGAACACAAATAAAAAAGTGATTAATTAGCACAATGCACTTTCTGCTTGTGGATTCCCACATAAAGTCATGCTCATATATATAATCAGCTAAATAATTCATTATCTTACATGAAATGATTAGGCGATATTCTGTGCCACCAATTAAGTTATTCAAATTTCAAATGCATTTGATTTCAACAAAGCAATGAAGCTGCATCATATTGATTTTGGTCCCAAGTACATAAGAATTGAGCATGTTAAAGAAATTAATGTCACAACAAAATATGTTATATAATTTTGCATATGCTTCTCATAAAAAAGTCTATACAAGAATGCTTAACATTGTTGTAATGATGTTTGCAGGTTTAGTTATGCCCCTAATCATATATAGTTCACATGAAAGCTTCATCATATAAGCTTGATCCTAAACTTGGTCCCCCCTCCTACCACCACTTCCCACCTATCTTAGTGTTTGAAGGGTAATCTGTCATAAGGCCACATATAAGGCCAGCATGTTGAATGAGTTGCCTTTATGCAGTTACTTTGTATAAAGATTGCCATTGATAAATAATTATAGGCATGATATGGTTTTGGAATATTGTACATTGTAGATAGTGCAAGTTCTTAAACCAACAAATATGAGGTCTTAAATCTAATGTTAGCCTATTTTTCCTTTGTGTACTATTGCAGTTTACAGTCATGCACAACTACAGGCATATTTTCACTTATATCTATGTCTATTCTCTTCTATAAAAATCATGAAATCATATGAACGTGTTATATTTGCTTATAGTGAGTAGTATAGTTGCTTTTGAGGCATGATCACATTGATATAAAGAAAAATCCTCCCACATTAGAACAAGGATAATAAAAGCTAAGTATGTGTGTGAATTTCATAGAAATCAAGTCGTGAACGTGTGATGCTTCAACTTCAAAGCTTCAATCAGACCCGAGACAAATATTTTGCAATACCTTTCGAACATTAAGTTTCTTGAAACTCAAGATTTTGGCTTGATGGATTTCTTTGGAGCATAGTTGCATTTTAGACACATAAGATCAAAAATGGATTCGACATTCCAAATAAGAGTATTTGACCCCTCAGGAAGTTATCATAATTAAACTCTTAATGTGACAGTGTATGATTAAATAACATTGCTGAAAAAGTTCAGAAGTATACTAAAGTAGAAATTCACAATGGAAAAAGGTAGTATAACATTTGACATCAATATCCCCAAAATTAGACACCACAGAAATGTATGGCATTTATAAAAGTGTATCTAGATGGTTTGCAAGGTCCAACATAATTGCAGAAGGCATCAAACGCTCCCTATATGTCGCTCTGTACAAGAAAGACATCTCATCATGGAGTTCAACATACTCCCAAAAAACGGCTTTTAGAGCAGGAAGGCTGTGTTATATCCCGGATCACTGATTGTCTTGCTCGCCGTCACCGGGATGGTTAACATCAGGTTCGCCTTCCTCGTAAGTAACCCACGGCAGCATTGATTCAAACAAGACAGCTAATGCATTTCTATTTGCAACACCACGAGGAGCATGGCCATTGCCCTGCTGAATAGCAAATTGGTTTTCGTCCAGCATAGCCTCCCCCGCCCTTGGAATACCCATGAACTGTTGCAGATTTTCTTGTGGAATTGCTGCTACTGAATCAGAGAAATCGGACACCAGCAAATGTCCATACCTAACAAACAGAAGATTGTAAATTGAATTGCCACACGTACTTAATCATATAAAAGAATGCCACAAAACATGAATTTTTTAGCTTAAGACAAATAAATCACTTACTCATTTTTCTCAGATGAAAATGCTTCTTTTCTGACACAAGACCAATCGTTAACTTCACTTTTATTACTTTCTAGGGTCTCAATGACTTGTTTTGCAGCACCAATTAGCAGTTTTTGGAGATCAGGAAGCCTCCAAATAAGATAATTTCTCTCGACATATATATTAATCAAGTGATCTTGAGATGGAATTCCCGTTTGCTCTGATTTGAAAAAGGCATGCTTGAGAATCTCTGTCCACGCACGATCTTTCAATGGTACTTTTGCCACTAGCTTCTTTATAACTGGAGGATGAAGCATCAATGCTTGTGTCATAAGATCAGATGAAGAAGACTTTTTAGAATCAACACAAGTATCTTCGGATGCCTCACGCTCAAGGTAAAACCGACAAATGGCAAGGGAAAAAGAGAAATTTGGAAGCAACCATATGGAGTTATCACTTTTATAAGCTTCCGAAAACTTTTCCAACCACGCATACTCCTCAGATCTTAGAGCAAAGTAGTCAATGCAAAAGATAGCCCCCATGGGATCATCAGAATCTAGTGAAAGCAACAATTTGCAGACCTCTAAAGCAGATCTATGACAGCCACGCCGATCCAAATTTTTCATGTGAGTAAAAAGAGCTGTGAACATAGGTTTGTTTGCATCGTGTTTGTACTTCAATTGGCAATTACCCTGCAGTGGTGTGAACATGGGATGCCACGCACATTCAAGGGCGTATAGACACCTGGCAATAGTATCTGCAGACATCTGTTGTTCACCCACTACCTTGAGATATTCTGCCATTGTTAGAAGGGAATCTATATGATAGGGACGGTGCTGCAATATGCTCGCTATACCATTTATGTCGTTAATTGCTTTGGCAGCTTCAAACGATTTCTGATATTGGGAGTAGGATGGCGAGTGCACATATCTACAAAGTAAAAAGGGGGGTTGAACAGTGGTTAGGCATTCGTCGAAAAGATGTAACTCTTGTTATAATTTATGATTCTCATATCTAAAAAATCTTCAACCACAAAGATTAAAATAGGGAATCAGAACATAAAATACAAAATGATATATTCAATTTCCAACATCATAAATAAAGCACATAATCATTCGACCCGATAGACTGACAAACCGATCTCCCCAATCTCATTCTTGATTAACCCTAAATCCCAAAAGTCAAAACTAATGAACTCAATTGTGCATGCACTTCATAAATTTGAATACCAAGACCAGCTACAAATATTATAGCACAGCACTTGTAAAATTTATATAACATTAGGTTTGTTTGATCATTGGGATAATATCACAATATGTTTAATCATGAATTAATGTCTACAATTAGTTATTCGACAACGTAGCTATTATAAGAGTTACGCCTAGAGTAAGTAAATCCCATTTACATGCGTATATGGCAAAATGGAAGGGGGTGGATATAATAATATAATCAATATTTGGGCCGAAGTAGGTGATTTCCCGCGTTATATATCTAGTTTAAATTTCCCCCTTTTTCATCTATCGACTCCTCTTGACTCAGTCTCAGCCATTAGGTTTTTTTTTTACTTCAATGTCTTAAATTGTGGCCTTTTGTTTGTTCAAAGTTCTTCGTAAGGTCTATCTTTATGCATGTTCTATGTTTGATTCTTCCCATCAAAGGACACAACATCCATTTGCGTATGCTCATTTCTATAGCATATGCATGTTTATAATTTGACCGTAGAACACATCTCACTTTTGGAGATAAAATACTACAACAACTTCCTTAGCCTTTAAGGTATACAACTAGACAGACATGCATAGAGAAAGGGGAATTATAATAATAAACAAAGCACATCAACACATTAAAAATGATAAGCACCTTACCTAAAGTAGTTATATCCGTTCTGTATTTCAAGAAATTGCATGGACAATGAATCATCACATGGGAGCCAAGTATTTGCTGGAGTGACAAGAACAGTCTTCTTAAGATTATGGCGTACTCGCCTTACCCCTCGCATCTGCCTAGAACTGCTTGGTTGATTGTTGGTATTCTCAAAGGATTTCACAACCTTAGATCCAAATATTCTTATCAGCTCATTTTCGGCACTCAAATGTTTAGGATCCACTTGTAATATGGAGACAGCATCCTGCTTAACAGATTTACTTTTATCCTTAGCATTCACTGCTTTTCCTTCTGTCGACACATGTTGCTCATTTGAAGAGTTCACATTCAGAGCCAAATCTTCTAAAATCAAGTCCAGTTCTTTTTCACTTTCCCTTTTACCGGAAACAGCATTATCCTTACTTTTCTTCTTCTTATTCTTCTTTTTCTTTGATTTCGGATTCGATGTTGAAACCTGAGTAGAATTTTTCGACGAGGATGCCCCCACCTTATCATCATCTCTCACCGATGTTTCCTCCGCAGACTCGTCTCCCTGCAATCAATACAATCAAATTAAGATTAAGTAATAAGTACACTATTAGTGGTTTCACCTTTCTATTGTAAGGGCAAGAATCCAATAATCTATCTTAAGCTAAGAAATACCAACATTTCAGAAATAAAGTGTGTCTAGCTATGAAGCACTGATACCTCTAGAAGTAAGCGTGCCGCGGTGTCCGACTCGTGTCAGTATCAGACACTTGTATGACACTCGTACGACACGTGTTGGAAAAGTCAAACAAGTGTAGGAAAATTTAGATAAGTGTCCCCAAAATTTTTTTTTTTCTTTGCTTCGACACATTTTGAATCGATGTCCGATACCCATATGGCACTCATACAACACGTAGTCCGATAATTCAAACAAGTTTTCTTTAAAAAATTGTGTTTTTCTTTTCCTCAACACACTTTATACATTTTCTAGACAAATCTCACCCACGACTAAAAGAGTTAAACATGTATTGAAACTATGTTATCAATGAAGAATTAAAGATATTAATTTTGGTTAGAATATTTTTTAACTCTTTTGATATTAGATGATTAAATGAAACTCAAATATTATGACATAAATACAGCAGTGTCGGTGTCCTAGGTTTTTGACATATCGATGTCGTAGTGTCCGTGTTGTGTCGCAGTATCCGTGTCGGAGTATGTGCTTTATAGGTGTCTAGTATAGTCTCGA